GACTAATGGTATCCAGGAATACTCACAACCCTAACTTTGCTGTTCCTTGCTATTATATCAGTCGAAAAACAAAGATATCTTGAGCGTTTTAACTCTTGTGATCCACATCTGAAGATAGATGAACTGTAAAAATGACTGTTGCTCATTTAAACTTAATTAATTTGACCACTAAATTAAAGTGTGCAGTTTGAGAGGTAAAGTCAGTGATATATTAAGTGTGTAATTTAAAAACTCAGATTCTCAATTCGTAAATTAATTTAACGCATTACCTGTCTGCCGTAGTAGCTAGTCAGAATTTGGTTAGTTTCACCTAGTCAAATGTCAAAGTGACTGCTCTAAACTAAACGGCTTTTTATCAGAAATCAGCCAATGGTTCAAGGAAAACGGTCTCACCTTAAACCCCTCTAAATGCCAAATAGTTAATTTCACCTTTGGGCACAAACCTGACCTAAACAAACTGGTTAGCACTCACGAGGTGTGCAACATAGATAGATGGCACTGAAATTGAAACCAAATCGGAAATTAAATACTTAGGCGCCATTCTATCTTCTGATCTTTCCTGGTCGTCTCATATCTTGACGATTTCTAAGAAAATATTCCGTTTTACCTTCTACATCAAGAAGTTTAGACATTCTGGTATAACCCAATCCTTACTCCTACGATTCCGCAACTCTTGCATCTTGCCTATTGTTCTCTCTTGTTCCCCCGAAGTTTTTCCAGGGCTACTGAAGAAAGACTATACCTTATTATGCAGGATGTTAAAGGTTGTCAGCAGGGTAAGCAACGTGCCATTTAACCAGCTTGTTAATATTCTGGTTGACAGGCACTTCGACTCATGTGAAAAATGGGCTAAATCCATTCTATCTAACTCACACCACCCTCTTCATTCACAACTCTCCCCTTGTATCTCATCAGGCAAAACCAGAAGCCTATATAGGAAACTATATGCTCGCACTAGTAAGTACAAAAGCTCAACCATACCCTACCTAGCTCGTGTTCTGTGCGATAAAGAAAGCATTAGGCGAGAAACCTATAACTTATTAAACAGTCAGTAGAACAACTGGATCTCGTCTTTCCAACTCATATCATTTATGGGTACAACGTTTTCTTTTTTTCTTTTCCTTTTCTCTCTCCCTCTTTTTTCTGTGTTATGTGCTGCTTTGTTTCTTTGTTTCTTTCTGTTTACGCCAGTAAATATGCTAGAACCTACTTCTCCAACACCTTCTAACACTCTGTTTAATTTTGGCTTTGCTACCGACATGCTAATATGTTGCTGTCGAAACTAACTGAGATAACCTTAATCTATGTAGAACTTCATTTATTGTTAATGTACTAACTGGATGCAATACTGTATGTGGTGAAATGCTGATAATTCCATTCTGTATCACAAGTACTGTTTTGTAACAAAACCAATTATTATCTTATCTTATCTTAGTTCAGTTCACTGAGCCAGTGAAGCTGGGTATGCTGTTGATGAGCATGGCCTCAAATAAGTGAAACGAATGTCCAGTGTTTAGATCACTTCGACCTAGCTAGTAACCACTATTACCTGATGTCCACGGTATCCGTCTGCTCATCTTAACCGATCAGTGGTATATGGCATCGCACATATGGTTTGAACAGTTTTAAATCTTTAACATTAACAAGTACTTCTGAGTATGAAGCTTCAGTTAATTGAATTTTTATAATCTTATTACACAAATTTCTAAACTGTGTTCACTTCAGAAAATTATACAATCACAAAATACCTAAATTGTAAGTGGTAAATATATAGTAAGAAATCTACTCTACAAGAGGAACCAACGGAGCTCTTAGAGGTACATTCATAATTCACTGTAAACTCTCAAACATCAAGTGAGATGGAATGCCCAATACTGAAGAAATTAAACTTGATTAATCATCAGTATATTTCACCAAGCCCATGTATCCAGTCCTTAATATTACCTCTGATTGGATTCTATCAGACACGTGTCTAATGTGGTCATCAAGCTAGGGAACTCGTCATAGAGGGTCCACCTCTAATTAGTAAATGGTATTCAAGAAATTTCATGCATTTTGCTTCTCTAAACTGAAAATATAGACTCGACACACTTCGTGTGAGATGTACTCAATAGCTCTACTGCTTATTTGTTCTCTCATATAGATCAAATATCATTATCACATCGAGCTCAAAAGAGAGCTGTAGTTACGGGTTCGAATCCTGATCCAATCTCGCTATCTGTTTTCTACTTGACTTATAGAAGCTGCGTGACAAAGCCAAATGTGAATGTATTTCTAAAGTGAATAAATTGGGAGACAGTGGAAACGTTACTCAACACCATTAGCTTGTGTTTCCATACAGTCAGCAATCAGTTACATATATTGTTTGAGAGTCAGTGATTCTGCTTATGTTGCTGAATGTTGGCAAGTGGATCCTGATTCGAACCCGTGACTACAGCAGTAGAGCTATTGAGTACATCTCACCGACATGCGTCGAGTCTAGTTTTCAGTTTAGAGAAGCAAAATGCATGAAATTTCTTGAATACCATTAACCAGTTAGAGGCGGACCACTATGAGGAGATCGCTAGCTTGATGACCACATCAGAAACGTGTCTGATAGAATCCAATCAGAGGTAATAATCAGGACTAGACATATGACTCCGGTGACACACACTGATGATTAATCAATTTCAATTTCTTGAGTATTAGGCATTGGGTCACATTTGATATTTGGTAGTTAATTATACTGTGTGGTAACATAAACTGAAACGCGTAATCGGTATTGAAATCTTAAATCAACTGTCCGAAAGTTCACTGCTTGAACCAATGACTAGTATCACATCCTATACACTATTGAGTTTAACTAATGTTATGATGTAAGAAATAGCTGTGACATTAGTTTGACAGCTGAAACTTAGTATATTGGCTGGAGCATTCTAGCAAAATATTATCCATAACTGTTAACTAAGGTCATCAGTTGTTTAGCGTCTAACTGAGAATCTTTGCTGAATCTGTCGAGTTAAAATTAGATCTTAGTCGTATATTATGAATAAAAAGGCGTATGTTTTTGTCATTTAGCCGTTCGGCGATAGCTTTAATCTGAATGGGCTTAAGCCATACCTAATGTGTAAGAATTAATAGTGCCACGAGACATCGGTTGGGCTTATATGGACAAAACAATCGGAGCTTAACATCAGTTAGCTGAAAGTTGAATGCTTACTCTAATGATTCACACCACCAAGAGATATACAAATCGTGACTGGTCATTGCGTTACGCCATCTGAAGTCTATCGGTTGAGAATCTTACATTTCGGTAGAGGAAAAGACAGAGAAAAGCAGAGTAAAATGTTAATGGATAAATTCTTTGTTTCGGAAATATAGTTACTCTTCTTGTTTTAAATAAATCATGTGAGATACGGAAAGCGGAAATGATAGTTATTTCGTGGATTGTAGTGGGCAGTGGAATCCAGGATGAGTATTTTTATCCTATTTTGGACCCGTCATCTGAATGGACCTACGATCCCCAATGAGTTATGATGTTCCCACTGAAACTTGACTCTAATCCACCCAAATCCAATAGTGACCTAACTACAATCTATCCCACATCTAAGCCTAACCTAAACTCCGAACCCTGAACGACAGTTATTTGAATAAACATTAGCAATCCTATACGATCCTGGGAATTGTTGTCACAGAATCCTGTTTAATATTGTCACATTTCTTTGAACATTTTTCTACGGATATTACATTATTTGCCTGGTTTTATTGGTTTATTCTAATTGTTTCGTTCAAGCCCTGCATGGGGCTACTACCTTGATGTGGTGGTTGGGTTTGCATACCACAATTTTCCTTCAGGGTCTAACACGCCGAAAAAATAATTTGGATAGCGGTTAGACTAAAAGCAGTTACCATCATAGCGCACATCGTTTACACTTTGGAGGGGCTCTGTTGGCAGAGTTGTGCTGCTGGCGAACAGATATGCAACAGGAGAAACGTTTTCCTCTAAGATAACCACCAAGAGAAATATCCTGCCTCTCGGCTCTAGAGAGTGAGGGTTAGAAAAACTGACTCTCAAGATTGTACATCCCAACTTCCATTACGGTGATCTGTAGCCGGCGTGAAGATCTTGATGAGCAATGTTAGTTGACATAGGATGTGTTTGAAATAGTGTTAAGAGCGGTCATACCGAAACTTGGCATCAGTTTATGAGGCCTTTGACTGTTGATCTGAGCCAATTTTGCAGGTATAGTCTGCTTGGCTGGAGTTCTCGGGATGCTAAGAACCAATGGCTAGAGATAGTATTTCATACGGCTAAAAATCGTTCTCAGTAGTGCAGATGCATTCACTCTTTGTAATCTTCCATGTATCTATTAAATTCTCAATTTTTTCACATTACTTTTCTTCCTTCCATACATTTCTGCTGGTCATAGTTCACATGAATTTTCTGTTTCAATACTTTTGTGGGCTAAATGAAGTGTGACAAAATGAACTGGTGTACTTCTGTGCAAAGTTTTACGTTGAAATTCAGTCAATCAATCAGTCAGGTTGTAACGACATAAGACAAGGGCCAGGAAACGGATCGTTCTTTGTCAAAATCATCAGATATTTATAGACTTTTATGTACATTATTATTAGCATTACTGTTAGCAGAGAAACATCGTCTTCTGATTGGTTGTTGTCCTGTTGAAGGTAATTCTGTCATCTTCTTTGTTGCTGTATGCTAGACAGCCCTGTGATATATCTGCGAATCGTATCCGTCCACGCTAACTCTTCTGTGATTGTTTGTTGAGTTCGTCAAGGTTAGGCTTTGTTCTTGTTTTTTTCTCGTGACCCGATTTGGGATGTAACCCTTGACTAAAATTGGTGTCTACAATTTTGGCTAGTAGACAGCTCTCACCACGAGGTTACATCCTGAGTCTTAACAAACCAGTAATTTTTTTATTTCTAATTTCTTAACGCATGTGTTATGTTAAACTATGCTATTTAATGTAGAGCATAATTTATACATCTACATTTTTTAGGATGACCACTCCACCGTTTGTTCGTCAAGCTCATTTATCTTGGTTACCCGGCGCTTATGGTACACCTCCACCGGCAAATTCAGTTCAAGCCGCCTCCGGTATTTGTATTATTCGTGGTAGAAAAAATGAAGATTTAATCCCGGGTAAAATGCCTATCAGAATTGGTGCAGGTTTTGTGCCTTATAAAGGTGAAGAGTTTGGACTTCGTGAATTTGAGGTGCTTTGTAATACAAATGTTTATGCAAATCAAGCTTTGTAAGTAGTATATGGAATGCATAACTCTGATCTAATCTAATATTTCTGTAAATCATCTTTTATCTACTATATTTGCTAATGTTTGACGCAACTTGAGGCAAGATGTTATTATTATTTATTATTGTTCCCTTGGGTTCCTAGTGGAACATAGAGCTTCAGCTGCACGTCTCCACTTGCTTCTGTCTTCTGCTGTGCTTTTCACCTGCATCCATGTTAGTCCACACTGTTTCAACTCCTCTTCACACGATCTCCTCCATGTCACCCTTGCGCTGACGTCCCACTCGCCGCTTCCCTTTCGGCCTGGTTCCACTCGAGGGCCTGACACGCGATGTCACCCGGCGGCCTCCTCAGCGAGCGAGTGTCTAATCCATCTCCACTTTCTCCTGCATATTTGTTGGTTGGCGATTGGTCCCTTTTTTGTTTGTTCCCATAGTTTCTTGTTGATGGTTGTTTCCGGCAATCCGAGAGGCAGCATGTTAATGATCAGATAAAGCCTTGAATCTAAGTCATATAGTCTTCAAGATGTTTTTATAACTGTTGAGAGGTATATAGTTAAATATTAAAATAGAAGAGACAGTGGTTGAGATTTCTAAGATTCCTAATAACTAGTCTACTGTGGAAAAATAGACTGGTAACTGTATGTTACACACCATTACGGTTACATGGTTTATCTACAGGATACGGACTCCGCAAATCATGTTGAAGTGAAGTGTTATATTAAATTTCAGATGTCATTTCGACAACAACATTCATAGTACCTATTGGTTTGTACAATGATTATTTCTCAGTTATTCAGTTTGCTCTTGACTAATCTACTACAGAAAACTGTAAATTTGAGTTCGTGTAAAGTTTCAATAGTCTTTAGTTTCTCGTATATGACCACAGTTAGTAGATCACTACTAAACAGTGATCTAAAAGGATCATACTAGTGCGTCAACGTCTTTCGTGGTGTCGGCGGTTCAGTGGTAGAATGCTCACCGACCACTCCTCACATGGCCCGGGATTTGATCCCCAGCCAACGCACACATTAACCACGTTAAGCCGGTAGTATGGTCGTTAAAGAGGAATGTTTGGGCGTGAGGTAAGCAACTCCACCCCGTAGAAAAAAACCCACTGCTACCGAAACTTCGAAGATCTAGCCTGAAAGCCTTTATTCCACTCGGAACCTAAGGGAATAAAATAAAAAAATTTAAAAAATATCATACTGCAATCAAAGTTGTCGTTCTAACTTCACTCATTGTCAAGAGTGTTAGTTTTATAAAGTAATGCTCAAATAGTTCCAACAGAAGTAGACATTTAAGACTGAAAATTATCGATAACATTTACAAATGTATCTCTGAAGATTATGAGGCATAAGCATTAAAAGTATGTGGAACTTACTGATTTAGATAGGTAGTTGTATACCACTCAGAAGAGAGAATAATTGATGCAATCGATGCAGAACGCCACCTGCATGAAGAAGCTGAATTCAGGAAAGGTAAATCTTGTCCAGAACAGATTATGACTCTACGCATCGTCATCGAGCATAGCCTAGATAGAATGGCAGTTAAACCTGTACTTCACCTTAATCGACTTCAAAATACCCTTTTACAGACAGCGTTGATCAAGAAGTAATTTGAAAACTACTTCAACACTACGGCGTGCAATGCCCAAGTCTTTATCAACCTAATTCGACATCTCGCTATATAACAATGTCATGTGTCTGCTGATCCACAACGGATAACTCAGTGGGTCGTTCGAAGTGAATACAGGAGTAAGACAGGACTGTCTATTATCACCGATGATATTCTCAACTATGATGGACTGGATTATTCGTCACACTGTGCATTGGAAGCAAGAAGACAGGAATACGCTGGACCACCGATAACAAAATTTTAGAAGATCTGGATTTCACAGATGATATATGTCTAATTTTACACAAACTCGAGGACTTATAGGAGAAAGTCAACAGACTGGCAGAAGAGGTAGGAAGCAAAGACAAGACTCCAGGTGAATATAGAGAAGACAGAGGTGATGAAGATGACTAACCGACAGCAACAGCAACAACAGTTATTATTGATTACCACCAACAGTAGTTACTTCCTTAACTTATCTCGCCAGGAAGCATGGCTTCAACCATGGGTGGTCGAAACGGATGAAGATGTCAAAACGATTGCTAAAAAATGTGAAATCTAAATTCAAATTGCGGTTTTTAGTGGGTATCACTCCAACAGTCTATTATTACTTAAAATGTAGATATTGTCCACTAGTGTCATTTCCGTATAAACTTTACAGAAAACCAATTCATCGATTAACCAACTCAATTACTGATGAACAAATATTTCAGCGTGACATTCTACTTTTTAACAGTATAAGATAATTAGCCTCCTTGTAAAGCGTTAATAAAGTGAAAAATTAGACAGTTGGAGGCAATCGACAGGAATCCTGGAACCTAGGTTTCGTGCCAGTTGGCTCTCGTCATCGAGGCGTATCTGCAACCTTGAAGGAAATAATGTCCCTTTTGAGATTCGAACCCGCGTCACTCAGTGCTACAGTCAGAGACGTTACCACTGAGCTATTCAGGCACGCGATTGACCTCCTGTAGGATTGCATTGGATATTTTTTGATTGCACACTAGTCAGTAACTAGTGTAATGTGTCTAGTCCTATCTTCGGTGCAGACTGAATTCGATCAGTCTATCGCGAGCCTGAATAGCTCAGTGGTAACGTCTCTGACTGCAGTACTGGGTGACGCGCGTTCGAATCCGGAAGGGACATGAGTTCCTTCAAGGTTGCTGAAACGTCTTGCTGATGAGTGCCAACTGGCATGAAACCCTAGGTTCCAGGATTCCTGTCGATTGCCTCCAACCATCTATACCAACATTTCACGGTGCACCGTAATGGCAAGCCACCTAGCATGGCGGTCTCATTGCAAGCCTGACTGGTAGAATTCAGTCTGCACCGAAGATAGGACTAGATACATTACACTAGTTACTGACTAGTGTGCAATCAAAAAAAAAGTCAAATATACACAATTAATTATTTAAAGTCTCTTCATTTATTGATCATTTACAACGCAGACAGGTTATAATAAAACTAGGTCAAAAAAGAAGCCTAATTTGGATTAATATTAATTCTGAAATAAAGTTTTATCAAACATTTTTTCTTGGAGAAAAAGTTTACTTATATGGCATATGTGTCTTTATACACTCGAAAAGTAGTCAAGCGTATTACCTGAGGGTTAATAATTCCGCCTAAGTGTTCATATCTTATTTAATGGAGTAGAGACTTGGTGCTCACGTCATGAAAAACATTTTGAACAGGTTGTAAACTTTCAGAATGAAATACACCCATGATCTAACCGTCTTGTTGCAATTTATGTCACGATGTGACTGTTTGAAACTTAACAGCTTTTTGTTGGATGTCAGCTAGGGGTCTAAACTAAATGGTTTTACCTTAAATCCTTCTAAATAGCTTTAATCTTTTCTGGGCTACTCAAAAGGGACTACATCATATAGTGAAAAGTAATCAAGGTTGTCAGTAGAGCAAGTAGTGTTCCACTAAGTCAGCTCTTTTTTACTATTGTACTCGACCGACACCTGAACTCATATGAGAAGTGATCTAAATCCATATTTTATGACTCTTAAAACTTTTTCTGTTCACAATTCTCCCTGTACATCTCACCAGGTAGGACTAGAAATCATTATAAACAATTATATGCTAGTACAATCAAGTAAAAAAACTCAACAGTACCCTATTGACCTGCGTTCTATGTGATAGTGATAGTGTTAAGCGTGAAACTTACAAATTACTATGTGATTAGCAAAATAAACGGCTCTTTCATCTTATCCTATTTATAATTTATGGTAACAATAGTGCAGTTAACTTATCCACGCTGTATTAAAAGTACTGTTTTGGATTAAACAAATTATTACCATTATTATCACCACCTCAAGTCGTTCCATACTGAAGATCTGATGACCAGCCAGAGCGGATAAGCCACAAGAAACTCTAGTATCGAACCAACCAAAAACCTGCCGACCAACAAATATGCAGAAGCAGATAGAGACGCAGTGGACATATGCTGAGGAGATCGCTGAGTGATATTAGGCACCAGTTCCTAGAGGTGGACTCAAATGGGCAACGACTAGTTGTACATGAACTCGAGTTTGACATGCCGAAGATTATGCGATGAGGAAATCAACCCCCATGAACGATCGTGAAGCCATTTAATTTGTGGATGGTGACTAGCAATGGAATCCAGTACAACGCGCATTTCGTCCTATTTGGGACTCGTTGGCTGGATGTACCACCATTTCTCAGTGAGTGATGATGTTCCCACCGAGGCTCGAACCCAGCGGCCATAGTTTCAAACGCCAAAGCGTTATTCACTAGACCACTTGGGCCACGATAGCCACCTCTTATCCAACGGGTCATATTAATTTAATTGAATTAAATTTTAGATTTTCCCGTAGACTGATTGGACAGAAGTGCTCGGTCTCAGGTTGAAATGTCGGCTTCTTATGCAGATGCTTCGACGATATCTGGGTATTTAATTAGAATTTAATTGGTGGATGGTGACTAGCAGTGGAATCACGGATGCGCATTTCGTCCTATTTGGGGCTCGTCATCTGGAAGTACCTGCATTTCCCAGTGCAAGATGATGTTCTCACCTGTCAACCTGAGACAGAGCACTTCGGTCCAATCAATCGACGGGAAAACCTCAAATTCAGTTAAATCGCAAAGCCAGTTTAGAAAGAATTCAGAGAGAAGGGTCAGATGGTGTTGTGTTGCAGATGCCCTATGTTCCACTCAGGACCTAATGGATAAATAAAGCAACCTGTGTCCATTTTAAAACTAGTACCGATGACATTGATATGTAGCTATTCTTGTAATCTATTTGAAAGACTCAATTTTATTTCATTGTTTCAATTCATGTGGCAAAACTGGACAGTCATACTGATCACTTTTCACACATTAATGTTACGGAATATACACATTGGGTCATAGGAGTTATTAAGAAGACAGTTGCAGCGAAGAAAATTTTCTTTTCGATGAAGTCATCATCTAGGCTGTACATTCGTGTATTTATATCAAATGGATGGGAAAGTTCCAGAATAATTTCCGGTTAAGGGTCAAACTAATAAAAATTAAAATTAGGATTTAGAGTGCCATAATAAACAGGGGGCTGGATAAAACAAACAAAGTAGCATCATAATTACTGAGAAGATTGACATATTGTGCAATTAGGGGTTAGAAATGTAGAAATAACAAAATAGACAGATGTTTGGATAAAAACTAATGTGATGAATAATTGTTTATGTAATCAGGGACTAAATATGTAGAAATAGTAAAATGGCACAAATGTTAATCCTTTTTAATTAAGATATATATATATATATATATAAATAATTATTTGTATAATTTCAGTTATTTCCTTCACGTGTCACATGTTATTTTTTTTATTATACTAGGTATAATTGGATTCCTGCACGTAATGGTGAAGTACCTGCTGGTGCATTTCTGGCTGGAATAACTGGTAGTGGTGAACCATTGTATATAGCTCGTGCTACAATAAATGATGAAGTATGCGTTGGCAAAGTCAATCGTTTGTATAAGTGTGCACTACTTCCATGGGGTAATAAAGAACATAAATTAAGAGAATATGAAGTTCTTTGTTGTTTAGAATAGAAATTGTTGTTGTTTGTTGATTTATTTATTTATTTTTTTTTAAAGTGAGAATAAAATCTTTGATCTGTTTTGATCTACTTAAAACATATTTGGTTTAATTGTACAGTTATGATATAAATACAGTGAAATATCCATGTGTCTTTTATGACAATACATTTTTAAAGAAAAGACAGTTTGTTAATTTTGATGATGACTAGCAGGACTCACTTTTCGACCTACTTCGACCTCATCAGTTGAATACACCTTCTTGCTTGTGAACAGTTGTGATTCCATCACCCACTCCTTCATAAACTAAAGTGTTATCCACCAGAGACAAGAGAGCCACCTACTTTAGTCTCTGATTGATATATCTTGAACTATTAATCAGTATAATATTGAGGCACCCGTTCAAGCAACTCGTATACTTAAATGAGGCTTTAAAAACTTCTCTGGAATATATGAATTTGCCATATTCAAATGAATTCTGATTACTTGAAGGGTTTCATCATATGCTGACATCAGCTAGAGAATCGTTGGAAAACCTGGATTAGGTCCCCTTAGCTTATTAGTCTGAGAGATCTAATTGTAACCAGAAGGTCCTGCATTCGAACCCCATTCGTGATCGGGTGCGCACTGATGAAGAGTCTTAAAGTAGGACGAAACAGCTGTCCAGTACTCCCTGCAGGTTTTCTAATGGTTCTCTGACTGATGTCAGCTAATGATGAAACCCTCCAACCAATTAAACACAAAAAATGTCCTTACAAAACGAATACTTGAGAAGAATTCTGATTACCTTTGCTGTTTATGAAAGTTGAACTCTTAGAGTATGAAAAAAGTCTGAATAAAATAAGACAAATAAAATATCTGTTAATCTCTCTTTGATGTCTCGTATTAACATGGTGAGCTTGTGTATAGAGGCATAGAGATACTTGTTCGCTTTTGTTGAGTTCATCGCCTAACCATGGTGACTGGTATCCAGAAATTCGACAATGAACTTACCTAATCATACACCCAGTGTAACTGATTCTACATGAACCGACTATTTCTGAAATCTGTAAGATGAAAATATCGATTAGAATTTGGGACGTCGTTTACTTTCTATGCATTCAAAGTTAAATTAGAAACTAGCTTATATTTCAGTAGTGAATAATGAAGGATTTAAATGAAGTATGTGATTTTATTAGGTGAAGGCGAAATAAGTGGTATATAGTGACATCACTGTTGTACTGTAACAACGGAAGACAAGGGCCAGGAAACAGGTCGTTGTTTGAGACTTTTATTTACATTATTATTAGCGTTATTGTTAGCAGGGAAACATAGTCTTCTGATTGGTTGTTTTCCTGTTGAAGGTTATTCTGTCATCTTCTTTGTTGCTGTATGCTAGACAGCCCTGTGATATATCTGCGAATCGTATCCGTCCACGCTAACTCTTCTGTGATTGTTTGTTGAGTTCGTCAAGGTTAGGCTTTGTTCTTGTTTTTTTTCTCGTGACCCCGATTTGGGATGTAACCCTTGACTAAAATTGGTGTCTACAATCTTGACTAGCAGACAGCTCTCACCACAGCACTATTCAGATAAGACTTGGTCTTTTGGCTCAGTTATCTATTGAACGGTGATGTTGCGTTTGGAAAGAAAGCTAGTAAATACTAAAATCTGCTTAACCTTTAACTGAAACATGGAGGTTTATTAAAAATGTTTGTCAATGTAGTTGAAGATTGAAGGATCCATTCATGGTTGTTTGCTCAAACTCAACTCCTCCATACTTTTCGCGGGAGTCATCCATCCGTCAGTCATCGTCTCATCTCTATCGCTGTTCAGGGGAAGATCGAAAACTATCAGAAGTATTATCGTGATTTATTGTTATAACATTTATTCTTAGACCTTGTGTGTAATAACCTTATTGTTGGTTACATGTTGGCATAAGAATAAAGGATTCTCGAGTCGCCAATCTGTGTTCTGGTTTTTTCGCGTTGGCTATTACCAATTGTTTCTGAAAGTCTTCCAGGGACAGCGTGAGGTCCAGCGTATTAAGAGCTGGACATTGACAGTTACTGAGAGTTGGCTGACAAATTGTTTGTTCCCAGTTGTTAGTTCCCTCAACTTTCAAACTGAACTTCATGAATACTGAAACAATATGAAATGAGGTGTCGAATATGTAGTAAAGAATTTGAACAAGACTGGGAGTCAAATAATCTTGACTTGTTTCATGTTTGGTCATAGACTGATATCAGTTATAGAACTACTGAAAATCAGGGAGTACGGACAGCTGTTTCCTCCTAGTTTGGGACTCATCGGCAGTATACATTCATTTGATTCGGTGTTGAAGAAGATGAAATAATGGAAAACTTTGATTTTCACTCAGTATTTACGAATGTTCACATTGAAAATTCTTTATGCATCACTAATAACTTATTACTGACAAAGAATAAATTAAGTGATAATCGTCATCTAAGTCTAGATGAAAATATGATTAGGATTATCTTTACTTTAAACTATGTTTACATTTATATTAGGGGTATTTAGAAAGTGAAGACAGGAATAATTTAAAACTCTTCGTTACAGGTACCCAATGCATAAAAATTGGCTAAGAATTCCAGCGAATATTGTTTTATCATTTGAAAGGATGTGCATTGTTTTTTAGTCTAAATAGGGATCTGACTATTATTTGGAATGCAAGTGGGTGTGGAGGTGATGAAGATTCCTGCCCAACACCAACAACAACAACCGACCGAAAGCTGCTACCTTGACGTGGTGGTCGGGCTTGAACACCGCAATGACCTAATCAAGCTATACTGGCTGAGACTTATGTCTCTTGAGGTTCTACCATGCCAGGCAGGTTGTTTGGATAGCGGTTAAACAAAAAGCAGCTACCCAATCCAACATCATGATAAGTACAAAATTACAAAATTTCATGCCGGATCGGCCGTGGCCCGGATTAACAACGACCGCGCTTCCTGCTGCCGTGTCACAGGGCGGGAGTGATAAATCTGCTACTGAGACACACAAAACAACAAAGAACAAACAAAAGCAGGCCGCGTGTGACCGGCCCCAAGCAGTTGTCCCCTGGGCTCTGCGGTCACGCAACCAACTTCCACGGTGTGGGCAGCCGGGAAGTAACAATCGCCCTCACAATCCGAAACGCACGCGAAACCTCTCTATTACTCACTCATCTTTGTCTTCATCTTCATCTCTATCATCTTGCCTTCCTTCCACTGATGCAACTCCTCGACTTGATAGCTCTCCACTTCCTCTCCACTCTGCGTCCACTAAAAACGATGGAAGCCAAAAAACCACCACCGACAGCCTCTTAAAGCCGCGCCACCAATTTCATATAGGAGCTCTTAATGTTAGGACACTTTGCCAAATAGGACAACAAGCATCACTAGCCAAGACCCTGGCATCACGAGCCATTGATGTATGTTGTGTTTCAGAAACACGCATACAAGACCCAAGTGTGGTTATTCACCTAACCCCACCTGGCCAACAGGTTGAATCTGCAAAATTCACCTTGAGGGTGTCAGGAGATGCCACAGCTAGTTCACGAGGATTAGCTGGCGTAGGGATAGCTTTGAGTACTAGGGCAGAAAAGACATTGCTTGACTGGATCCCGGTAGATAGCCGAATGTGTGCTGTCCGCCTGAACGGATCAGTAAGAAGGAGGAAGGACTGCACTACTCGCCGATGCCTTTTCGTAATCTCTGCCTACGCCCCCACTGACTGCAGTTCAGATGAAACGAAGGATGAGTTCTACGAAAAGTTGTCTAGTTTGGTGAGAAAGGCTAAACGCTCAGACATAGTCGTTCTAGCTGGTGACTTTAACGCTCAAGTAGGGAAATTGTGTCAATCTGAGAAGGATGTCGGTGGCACCTATGGAGTTCCGTGCCAGCGAACCGACAACGGTGACCGTCTCCTACAGTTCTGCTCTGATAATCATTTGTTTCTTCAGTCCGCTCCGTCCTCCTTTATGGTTGTGAGACCTGGCCACTGAGAGTGGAAGACATGAAAAGACTAGCTGCCTTTGATCATAGGTGCCTGCGTTCTATTTCCCGTGTAAAGTGGCATAATAAGGTGAGCAACATGGAGGTTAGGCGTAGAGTTCTAGGTAAACAGGGGAAATCAATCGACGAAGTCGTGAAGCTACATCGACTGAGATGGTTAGGACATGTGTTACGTATGCCAAGCCATCGCCTCCCTCGACGAGCAATGTTAGCGGATATAGGGTCAGGCTGGAAAAAAGCTAGCGGCGGTCAAACAAAAACTTGGCATCAGTCAATGAAATCCACAACAGTTGGTCTTAGCCACGTAGGAAGGTGTAGACTTCCAGGCTGGGGTCCTCGGGACGGCAAAAATCTATGGTTGGAAACAATTGGTGACATGGCTCAAAATCGTTCTCAGTGGCGCAGATGCATCCACTCCCTGTGACTTATGATCTTCAATGAAATTGTTTTGTATTTCTTTATTACTCCTTTGTCTCACACCTCTGCTCACTGTTTCTATTTGCTTTTCTTGTACTTTCTTCTCTTGCTTCGCGTGCTACACGGAATGTGGCGACTTGAACTTCCGCACATTTGTGCAAAGTTCTATGTCGAAAACAGACAGACAGACAGACAGACAACAATCAGCATAAATGAGAGGAACCTAAAAGAAACAACCTCTTTTACCTACCTAACCGAGAAGCATCGTTTCAGCTACAGGCAGACGGAACTGATGAAGGTATGAAAGCAAGGATCGGGAAAGTAAGGTGAGCTTTCATTACTCTCAAATCTGTGTGGAGGTCAGCAGCACTCAGAATCAAAAATAACATCCGGATTTTCAACTCCAATGTGAAATCAGTCAGTGCTACTCACTATACGGATCAGAGACTTAGCGCGTCATAAAGAGAACCTCAGACAAAATACAGACCTTCATTAACAGCTGTCTTCGCTCAATACTCAAGATCAGATGGCTGGCCAGGAAAGATCACCAACAGGGATCTCTGGCAATGAGCGAACCAACTCAGCAGGAACCGATTGTGCAACAAA